ATGATCCTGAGAGCCTTTCAATAGGCTCTATACATAGTACCCAAACTAGCTTTTCTTCTTTCTTGTACCTTTAAAATTTCCACATCAATAAGCAGGAAATTTTAAAAGTAAAAAGAATGAATGGTATCTATTGTTTATTGAAGACATTTTGGGAAACAGTCTAAATTAATGTAAATCATTTTAAAAAGAAAAAGACAATTTACAGAAATTCAGTTGAATTTTTTTTTCCATTTTTCTGATAAAAATTATTTGAACACAAAGTTCTATGAGTCATTCTCATTTTAAATGAATTAGAGTTACATTCCATCATTGAATTTGCTACTAAATCATTTGTTTTCCAGTTCTGTTTTTAAAGAAATTAGTATCTATTCAGTGAAACTTTGTGTAGCATTGTCTAGTAGGGTTAGAATTACCTATTTTTGCAAGATCATTCAGTGCAGAGAGAACCTCTTTTTTTTAAGGAATGTCTTGTATGTTAAGAATGAAAAACAACCATCATATGTATTTGATTGCTTGTTTTTCTTTAAACACACTTAGCAAAATTTATACTTCTTTAGTTTTTTTTTTTTTTAAATATTGTGAGTGTTAGAAAAACTACAATGATAGAGAATATCCAAAAAGAACAGCTTAACCTTTGATCAATTATTTTACCATGTTGGTCTTGTTTCTTCATGTAAGAAATAAGGAGGTTGGTTGAAATGTTTTCTAATGTCCATTTCTAATTAAGAGACAGATCTCACCCTAAACATCAGAAATAATTTCTTCTGTTGGTCTCAATTCGATATGAATAAGGAATTATTTTTGTATGTCACTGAAATAACATGTAAATTTTTAAATGATCTCTCACAATACTTGGATGATGATATAAGAAAATCTTAAAAACATTTGCAATTTAGGAGAGTTCAAGTAAATTTGCAGCTTCAAGGAAACCCCATATATTTTGCAAAAGGAAATTAGCATTGGGGATTTGTTGGTTTCTCCTGGCTACTAGGAAAAAAAGATCTGCATTCATCTCTGGCAGTGGAGCCTCACATCTATGTGAGATACAGAGTTGCAGATCTACATTACAGTGTCTACACAAGACCTCTCACATCCTATTAGGATGGATGTCTTTGGAATTAGGCTCTTAGAACAAAGACATGTTTCCTAATTTATTCATTGCTTTTTCAAAAAAGAAAAAAGAAAAACCTTTGGATGATAGAAAAATATTCTTTTCAAATCAAGTAGTTCTTTTTATCTTTAGTAATAGTTTATGCTTGAACTATAAGCCTTAGTGTATGTGGAATGTCCTGAGGCTACCAGGATACACAATTTCCTCTAAGAAAATTAGAACTCTAGCCCTGATTAACTGAAAGAGGTCAGATACTAACAACCATCTTTATCCAGTTCTACAACCACCTTAAAATCAGCAAATAAATAAATGTGTTTACTTTTACAGAATGATGTATTTACTTTTTTAATTAAATAAATTTATTGACATTCCTGAAGGAAAAGAATTTCAAAAAGAGAAATTTAACAAAATAAGGAAGCAAATCATGCAAGTCACTGAGAAATATTTCTTTATTCTTTTAAGATTTAATGAGTCTCTTTATACTATAAAGCAATAAAAGAGAAATACTTTTACAAGATGAAAATAAAATTCTTGGGCCCCGGCATCTAGCTCAGTGGTTCTGCCACCTGCCTTGCAAGCACAAGGATCCGATACCTTCAACTCCTGATACCAAAAATAAATAAATAAATAAGATTCTTAACTAGCTGTGAATCCAATATTATGGTAAACTTGCATAATTTTATATAGATTGTCGACAGAATATTCCAAACAGTAAACAACCTAAATGTAAGTTGTTAACATAAATAAAATTTAATCATCTTATATGAAACATACAAATGAAATGATGAAATCATTGCTCCAGAATATGTTTGTCTACATCCTTTACATCCTTTAACTGTACACAGAAAGGTCTTGCTAAATTGACATTAAAGACTTCCAATTTTATTCATGACTCCTTTTTTTTTTTCTGTCTTCCTGAATCAGTTTCTTAGAGGATGAGCTGATTCTGATTGAGTTTTGGAAATACTGTTAGTATCAGAACCTCCTCAGAACCATGTAACAAATCAAACATATCACTGGAGGAAGACAGACAGACAGACAGACAGGGACAGAGACACAGTGAGAAGGTAAGAAACAAAGAGAGGCTTAAAACGTACAACCTCTACTTCTTAAAGTAAGACATCTCTATACTTGCTATGAATCAACATGGAGAAATCTGAAGAGCATTATGGGTGACAAGTTCTTGCCAGTAAGCAGAAAAAAGTGTTGACATCCGTTCCCCATCTCTGCTATTGCAGTGATGTCATGTAAAAGGAAAAGAACTTCATGGGCTCTCCTGCAGTCTCAGGGCTCATGACGTAAGCAAAGAACCTCATGCAATTTATAGCACTGTGTTTACTCTGGAGCCATTTGATATGTATTAATACATGCAGCAGCAGCTGTCTCATTTACAAGAGAAGTGTGCTCACATGAGCTCTCTCACCCAAACTGAGAGCATAAGCACACTCTAATAGCAAAAGAGGCAGCTGCTGGTGCATGAATTAATACATTAGAAGTACTCTCATTTGTTATTCATGTTTAAATTTTACTCTGTTTTAAAAATAAAATACTAAAGATTTGTAAAGAAGTGAAACTTGTACAGAGAACTTAAAATTGGCAGATAGTGTGCAATAAACTATGTCAGTTTTATTATATTTTTAGGGTTCAATTCATTTGCATATCAAAATAAAAAATTAAGTATTTATTATTTTCAGAACTGAGGCATCTGGTGTCTTTGAAAGGCAGAAAGCAGTAAGAGAGAAGGGCTTTCCTATTTCATGTTCTGATACAAGGCTGAGAAAGATTTGTTCAGTTGTTTCTATATGATACCTAAAACAAAAATTAGCGTTCTCTTTCTATTTACTCCACTCACTTGTACATACACAACTATTGTGAAAATAAAGATTGAAATTGACCCATACCAGTGAGCTTCAAATAGTTATATTTAATATTCATCTCTGGAAAAGTTTTAAGACTCTTAAGTAATTTAGGGGTTCCTGAAGAATAAAACAATTGCAAACCAAAAGGGTTGAAGAACTGCTTTTATATTTGATTAATTTGTCGCTCAACTGTATCTATATGAACATATAGACATGTATATACAAAATTATGTAAAATAACTCACAGTAAAGTCCATAATTTCAACTTTTAAATGATACAAATTTTGGTTTTATTTGAGGTTGGTTTAGCTGAGTTTATTGTTGATTCATTTGTTGTTTTAATAAAGTGTTTTGGAAAGCAGAAAGAATTTTTTTCCAACAAATGGAAAGTTGGTTCCAATTCATTGATTACTTTGAATTCCATTTTATAATTTCCTGTTCTTCTCAGTGGTAAGGTTAATTTCCATTTTGTAAATATTGCACTGTGTAAATCTTCTACTCCTAATTTTATGCATTATTTTATCATTGTAAAATATCTGCAAATTAGTTTTCTATTTATCTTGGAAGCTTAGGTATTTAATATTTTTTAATGTTATGCTAGCTCTGTTAACAATATGGCTGATTATTTCATTCAGAAAGAATTAAAAAAAAAGAAAGAATTTAAAAGGTGTAAGGTTTGAAACAGAAAGTGCTATAGTGATTTGCATTGACCTAATTAGTTGATTTACATGTTGACCTTTAAAACCAATGGAGTTTTGTAAACCCACCTTTGTGGCTATAACTTCACCAAAAGAAACCTGGGAGAGGAGATTTTAAAAATAAGGTAAGATGAATAAAGAAATGCTGATAATAAACTTTGGGAAAAATTAGAACCATTTACTCTCTTCTTACATTACAGAAAACCATCTTAGAAAGTGATATATTTTCAAAAGTAAATTTCAGAAAACCACTTATCCAGCTGGACATCTGAAATTGCTTATTTTTAAGTAGTAGTGGAAAAATATTTTAGCATTTCAGTAACTACACAATTTTGTGATTCTGAGATCACATCTACATTTCTAGTTATAAACTAACCCTGAATTCACTATACTCTCATGGATTCTTCAATGACATCACCTAAAATCCCAAATATTAAAAAAATTAAATTATACACCTCTTAAAATTAGCACAACTATTTAAAAACCACAAAACAAATTTTGCAATGGGCCTAGCCTTAAAAAGTAATATGGACAGGGGAGGAGGGGGTGAAAGGAGGGCAGAGGTAAGGGGAAAAAATGAGAATCAAGACTTGTCATGTAGAGGTACAAGATCCCAACAATGAATGTAACTGTACTGTATCCCTAAAATGTACCAATAATCTCAATTAAAGCTGAAAAAAATAAAATAAAATAATATTTACAAATTGAAATTAATTCCTTGTCTGCAGTACCAGGAGTCACCTTTCAAAATATATGCACTTCTACCAATCGCTCATTTTATTGCCATACTTATCCTCCTGATTTCATCCTCCTCCCACTTGTGCCCTTTTTGCATATTCTGGTACTGGATCTCTTGACCCACAGAATTCCCCTACATCTCCACCAGGGACATTTTGTAGCTATGTAATTTGTTGTTTTGTCCTCTGTGTGGACTTTCAGTTTTACTCCTCTCAAGGCCAAGTAAGCCCTTAAGTAAGATCAGCTTTCCTTCTACTCCTCATGTTGGACTTGAGAGATGAGAGGGAGCCTGGAAAATAACGGAATTTCTACTCATTACCTCCAGCCCATTACCCTGCCTCCTTCTTAAAAAAAAAATAAAATGAAAATCATATTGGCGATTACATTTCTGTGAATATATGTTTCTATTTCTTCTGATACACTATCCCCCTGGTCACTTTCCAAAGTTCATTGAAGATTTTAACAATTATCTCAGTCTTACTCTTCAACTCACCTTTTAGGCAATTTAAGAGTCTATGGGGGAATAGCCTCAAACTCTAAACTGGATTACTGGACCTCATTGCTTTCATTTATTTTATCCTTGTTCTATTGCAGACATCCACCTTCGCATGCTTCATCCTGGAATTTGTCAACATTATGTGCTGCTTTATGTCTGAAATATGAACCTCTGTTGTATACTACACAATCCAAATACTGCTGGTGCTTCAAGTTCTTGGTAAGCAAATTGATTCCTGTGGCTTCAGCAAGGGATTAGGCTTCATTTCTCCCCTCATTTCTACCACCTTAGAGGCATTTTAACATAGAGGTCCATGAGTACTCTACATTTGGCAGAATGCCAATGAAATTTTCTATTTGAAATAATACTTCAAACAATAAATTTTCTTCAGAACTGAGATTCTACTTTTGATGTTTCACATCTCCCCCCTCATTTCTACCACCTTAGAGGCATTTTAACATAGAGGTCCATGAGTACTCTACATTTGGCAGAATGCCAATGAAATTTTCTATTTGAAATAATACTTCAAACAATAAATTTTCTTCAGAACTGAGATTCTACTTTTGATGTTCATGTTTCTATTAATGGCATAACCAGTCCACAAGTTACAAAACTTAACATTCATTTAACCTTAGGTGGATATTCTTCTTTTGAAATGCCTCTAGAATTCACCTTGTCTTTTCAACTGACATCCCTACTGTAATTCTTAATCATCACCATTTAACCAGAGAAATGTTATTGAGATTAACTTCTGTGTTACCTTTCATCATAATTAACTGATGAAAAGAAAAGGCTTGGTTTGGTTCTCAGTTTTGGAGTTTTCAATCCAAAATTTGGTGGACAAATGCTTTAAAATTCGGGTGGGTGTGCCAGATGGCAATGACAGAAAAATAAGGTAGAACAAAGCCAATGATCTCAGAAGGAAAAAAAAAAAAAAGGAGAAAGAGAATAAGGAAGGGGCTGAGATCCCACAATTCCCTTCCCTTCCAGAGCATGCCCTCTAGGGTATACCCAAGGACTTCCCATGAGAACCTACCTCCCAGAAGTCCATAACACCACACAAAAGTCCCACCTTTGGGACCAAGCTTATAACAAATGGATCTTTGGGAGACATTCAAAATCCAAACTGCACCAATTGCCTTAAATCTTTCCATTTCTAAGGCCATGATTTCCACAGTATTCAATAAATATATGTATAAGCAATTTTCATAAGCACACAAAAATGAATCATTTCTAGAATTAATAAATTAGACATTAGACACTAAGGCCATGATTTCCACAGTATTCAATAAATATATGTATAAGCAATTTTCATAAGCACACAAAATGAGTCATTTCTAGAATTAATAAATTAGACATTAGACATGTAAGAGTAAAATGTGAGTCATTTAATTGTAAAAACTTCATTTCCAAATTACAAGGATCATTTCAAAACTTAGTCTTAGCCAAATATTAAACCTCTTGTCTGACTAGTCTCAAATGTTTTTCAGCCTCTTCTACTTCCACTCCTTTATATAATTTATTTTCATTCGAACTTTTTCCTAGGTCACTGGTTCTCATAGTGTAATGCCTAAGAGAACAGTATCACCATTGCTTTGAAAAGTTATGAGAAGTGAGGTTTTGTGGGCCTCACTCCATCCTGCTGACTCAGAAACATTGGGTGTTTAAATAAATTTTCTAAGTAATCTGAACACAGACCAATTTGGACATTGTGTGTTCGGCATCATACATTTTAATGTCATTATTTCTATTTATATAAAATACAAACTCTATTTCAACCTCAAATCACATGCTATCTTTTCTCTGAAAAATTTCTTGCTCTACTACTAGACTGTTTTTACTAATTTTGGTCACTAATTTCTACTCTTAACTCCTCTTTTTCCTTTAAGGGGAATTAATGACATTCATACATACTATCAGAAAATTTATACTGTTACTCCTTTCTCATTTATACCAAATTCCATTATAAAATGTCACCCAGTGTCATTAACTCATCACACATACCTTCAATGTGAAACATTTTAAGCCCAATAAATGAAAATTTCATACCTCTCTTATCTGACCCTTTTTCCAATAATTCAACTTCCATTGTTTCATTCCAGGTTTTAATACAAACTGTTAACCACCTGAAGGATTTATTTTATTTTATTCATTTTTTTTATCATGGCTAATGGTCTTTGATTTTCTTCCTTATAGTCTTTCACAGTGTTCTCAAATTGATTTTTTTCAAAATTATAAATCTGGGACACTTTCTTACAACTCATTAGGAGTTCCCCCTGTTATTTAGGATCCAAACCACCTTAGCTCCAAAATAGACTACTTACTATGGATATGTTTTCCTTTATTATATGCAAACTTTTTCTCAGTATGGATACTATTTCAGATCTTCATTTGTTCCTTTGTCATGCATTTGATCTAGCCAATAAATATCCGATTCAAAAAGTCCTCTTAGATGTTCCTCTAATGACATATTTTATTACCAATCTTCTGTGTTTCTATACCACTTTAGGAATGATTCTTTATCATAGTACTCTGTTTGTTTCTTTAACCCCTAGATTAAAACCATAGCAAAGGGAATGTGTTTCATTAGACATAGTATACCCAGCTCCTAGCAGAGTGCTTGCTTTCTAGAAAATGTCTTCAGTTATTTATTGAACAAACTATGACATGAATGCAGTTATACTACATTCACCAAGATAATTAATCATTGCCTACATCACTGACAGGTCTCCAATTCATTAGACAGATGTATGATCACAGATACTTCAAAATTATAATCTACAAATTATTTATATTTTACATGTGAATAATACTGGAGACATTCTAAGACTTATTTAAGAGGTTTAGATTTTATATCTTATTGTATTGTTTCAACAAAAGTGCAGCACAGGCCGTGGTTATAAGTAATTGCTTATTTCTATATATAGATTGTAACACTGAGGCCAGAGCTTTAATGCAAAAAGGACAACCAAAACTCTAATCTGGAAAACACCATGATGCCTTTTTGCTGTCTACAGAAATTTGAGTTTCTAGCTAAGAAGCTTGAAAAAATTTTCCAGAAGTTTGAGAAAACTCAGTTAAAAAGAGAAAGAGGTAGAGCTTCCACAAAACCCAAGTGGTGGCTACTCATTGATGCACTTTGTAGAAGCCTACTGCTGCCCCATATCATTCACTCAATTTCCGAGAAAACGAATTGTAGGAAGGACCTTGTAACGGAAGTCTTCCCTCTGCTTGTCAGCACGAAATACATTTATATTTGCCACTTTTACTTTGAACAAGGCTACCTTATTAAATAGATAAAATTCAGTCAAAAATTTACCAAGGGTATACTATGTGCCATATATTTTTTTGCTTCTGAGTATTTAGCATAACTGTCAGTTAAGAGTACAACTTTCATGATTACAGGGAAAAGAAGCCTTAACCAAGTAATTAAGATATATCACACACTTAGTTGTTTTCTAAGAGTAGTATACTTCTAGAACCACTTTTCCATAACCTAGTTCTACTGCCACATGATCAGTTCACTCATATCAACCTAGAGGTGATCAAATATGGAATCATTGTTTATTTAAATTGAAGTAAAGATCGTGCTCTATTTCATGTTTTGTAAGTATATTCCCATGATATCTACAATCTTAACATGACCTAAACTTGTGATTTCCTATTTTGTTCTAGAAATGATAAATGAATAGATACTGCCCCACCATTCAGCGTCAACCCTTTAACCAATTTAGAGGTAAGTACCAAAGAGCAGTGATCTAATATTGGAAGATAGAAAAATGTTAAAAAATAAAAGATTTTAAAAAGATGAGTTACAGTTAAGCTAATGTTCATCCACATTAACATTGTCTCACTTTGCACTATCTGGCAATCTTGTGGCAAATCAGGATAATTCATTCCATGGAAATGGTCCACTTGATTTTGTGGGTTTTGCGCGTCCCAGAATGCACCTGAGTTTAGAGAAGAATCTTTCATAGAAGTTCTACTGCCGGTCCTCAAGAAAGAGAAGAATTTGGATATAATAGAAATTCAAGTAGAATTTTAAAGAAGTAAGGTATTGGGGGGCTGGAGAAAACTCCACAGAATGTCTGGCAGGCAGGAGCCGTAGAAGATCTGGCAGGCACTTTGAGAGATCAATTAATATTTCTCCATGTTTAATTTCTTAATGAACTAATCATTTTGGAGTGATTTTATTTAGGGCTTCTATATACTGCAATTAAACCCAAATAATGCAAAATAAAATTTGATATATAAGGCCTTCCTTTAGGATGAGTGTCATCAACTTTACACACAGATTAGAAACAAACCCTGCCATCACTGTTTTCTCTTTATTCCTAGATAATGAAAATGAAGTAAGAAAAAAGTGGATGTGAGAGCCATGTTGCATGCATACTAACTATGATATGAAGAATTCTTTCTTATGTCCTAAATTTTTTTTTTCTGTTTTGATGATTGAAAACAGATCATTTCAATGGTCACGGTAATTTCTGAATTTCTGATGACATGTGCCAACATAAACAGTTCTCAGGGAAAATGATGCTAGACATTGTTTTATGCAATTAGAAGGGTACATCTTTCTTACGGTATTGACTCTAGACCTAAAATACACCTTTTTTTTTTTTTTAGAGAGAAAAGTTCACAAAAGGCTTACATACATTGAGAAAATGAGGAAATAAAAAAAAAAAGAATTCATTGGAATACAAAGCACTCAAATTAACTCCAGGAAGAGATAATTCAATCTCACCCTTCTTCCTTTTGAACCCATAGAGTCCTTTATTCTTCCATCAGTGTTCTACTTATCTACTTGTTTTTCACATATTTTCTTATGACTATTCTCTTTTTTATCTGGTCATTGGCTTTGAAGGTTGAGCAAGAAAAAGAATGAAAATGACATTAAATCCAGTCAGATTTGCAATTGTTTAGTAGCTCTGGATTTCAATAGAGAATGAGGTTAAAATTACTTGCCTTAAAAGGAGTCTTGGTAATTAGTTGTAAAATTTAATTGTCCATGCTTTTTTCATTCTAAGTACCCAGACTAAATAAAAGTTTGTTGCATTTCTTTATGATTATTTAACTCTTTCTATTGGAATAGGGGCTGAGAAAAGTGCATTTGAGTTTAAGCTTTCAAAAAATTTAATAACCCTTTTAAGCCTCTCTCTGTATAACTTTCAATTATAGAGTTACAGAAGATATAATCTCAAAAGAAAAATGCTCTTTTCCCAATATATTTATTTGTTTTTTCCCCAGTGTCCAGTGTCCTATTTATAATATTTCATTCATGAAAAGGAAATAGAGTTCTTAGTTATTCTAAACTGCTAAAATTTTAACATCCAAATTATTTGGCTCAGGAAAAAATTTTCATCAGCCATTGATTTTAACTGGAAATTTAATATAATTTCTAAAGCATTACAATCAACTTAACATTTGTGAAAACATAATTCAATAAATAAAATAAATTTAAATTACTTATTTAATGACTCATTGTCAAAGTAGGCTATTGGCTAGTTTTTCTTAAATCTCCTACTCCTTTACACTATATTTCATTAATAGTTATATTTATTTGTTTACAACTACTTAATATCTGTGTTTGAGGCCAGATAAACTTTAAACTGTATCTGGGACCCAAACATGTGCCTCTCTAACATCATGTAAATAAGAAATTGAGCGTTTAGTCTTACAAAGTCTAAAAGCCAGGTAACCAGAAGAAGTAAAGAATATTCCTTTCTGTTGAGAGAGAAGCTAGTTAGGAAAATTACTGGAGCTGCTGACTTAATGGTGCCTTTTAATTCAATTCAATTCCATTTTGTTCAATTCAACGCATATTAAGTGACTAGTATTTGTAAAGCCACCATCGTGTAGCACAACATATATTTAGAAATTCAGGCTTAGAGAAGATTTTGGAAATGATCTATTCCACGAGGTTTCATGCTGTGGCCCCAGGGTAGCCCTGAAGAATGCTGAGAAAGAGAAGAGGAGCCTAGAGGAAGAAGAGGCTGGATGAGCTTCTTCCCCTTCAGCAGAGGATGCTTTGCTTGTATCTAATTCATATATTGGGTACAAAATAAGACTAATTCTAAAGTGGGTTTTATGACTAAAAAAGTTTGAAAAGTCTCTAATGTACCCTACTTTTCAAAATTCAAAGGTAAGGAAACTATGACAGAGTAAAGTCGTATAAACTGTCATAAATTCTGTATGTCAAAATTAACAGCTCCATTTCATACAGTTTTTAAGCCAACAAAGCAGTTTAATTGATGGAATCAAGGTCAGTGCCTCATAAGGGATAAGAGATTTTAAAACATTTATAATGAAACAGGAATAATTTTAATATAATCTCTAGGGTATATCCTAGAGATGCTGTCTTCTACTTCCTCACAGTAAATTGCCAGGGTCTCATTTACAAAAAATGGCAATATATTAATGCAGTAAAATATATCCCTAGACTCAAGACCTAGGAGAGACAAAAAGAGGAATAAACAAGTTCAGAAAATTAGATCCAAAATTTGATTTAATGGGAAAGAAATAAGACTAGCTCTAAAAGAATATAAGAAATGCTGTGTTTTGTGTTGGTTGGGAAATGGAATGGAAAACAATAAAATGAGGGCTGAAAGCCAAGATGAGGGTGATGATGGGGATCACAAAGAGAAAAAAATTATTTAGGAGGAAAACAATAATCAAAAAGTAAGTAAATGTCATGTATATACATTAGTACATTATCTACGAAATGTTCTTTTACTTCAGAAACTTAGCTAGAAGTCTGATTTGATTCAGAAACTATTCATTATTTTTTTGCTATGTTACCTTAAACTATTGAATAAAATTAATGAGTTCTGCATAATTTCACACACACACACACACACACACACACACATATATATGTATTGTTTAGATTTTGTTATACCAGGTGTATTTCATAACCCTTGGTCTTCAAAATGTGCATACGCTACAGTTTTATCAGCAGAAGTAAACTCACACAGCATCATCTGTATCTCAGCACCCGATTTAGCTAAAAATGGACCTCTGACTGGAAGACAGATGCAAATGATATCCACAGAATGAAGCAAAGACACCTGATTCGTGCAGAGAAAGTTGACCCAGAACTTTAGTATTATAGCCTAAATTAAGTAATCATTTCTCCAAGTACTTATTTCTTCATTTCTCAGAAGGCAAATCTTTATTATCAACCTCTACCCATTTTTCCAAAGTTGTTATCAGCCATAACTTCTATTTGACTTAGCCTTTATCCCTTAGGTAAATACTTCTATGATTGCTTAAAAATGTTTATTTTAGTTCATCTAGTTCACCTTTTCTGTCACCATAGGAAGTTCTAGTTCTGAGAAACCCAAAGGTAGTAAATTAGAGTAATCGTTAAAAACAATAGATGTGATACCAGAGCTATGATATAAAATACAAGTCTTTTAAAGAGAAAACCAAAAGATAGCTCTAGTTCAAGATTTATATAAGCCAAAATGATAGAAAAACATTAAAATGAAATGTTACAGCTAATGAACATTATGTAGCAAAGGGAACTCAAATGCACATTGCAATATATTAGTTTGCACTATACGGGAAAAAAGCAAAAGAAAAATTATGAGGATCACAGAGGCACAAAGCTCACTTTAAATAACTGAAAACAATTGGAAAAAGTTATTCATAATTACTGTAACTCTACTTTTCACTTAGTGAACATACCTTGGTGGCCTATTATGGTTAATGCCAGATTGATATTTAATACTGGTATAGTGACATATCTTGTTAAGACAAAATATAATGGGATTATCCAGAAGGTTTCTTCCAATTACAAACCTTTGTTTAGATTTGAGGCATTCCATTAAATTATACATTTTCCAATTATAAATTATACATTTTTAAAATATGTGGTACTATGCCATATCAACATGATCTTCTTTGGAGTAAAACATGGAGTAGTCTATTGAGAATGAACTTTTTATGAAAATACTTGAAATATTTGTTTACCTTCCAAATCCAAATTTTTAAATAAGAGCTTGAAATTCTTTTTGATTCTCAAAATATTTTTCTAATATATTTAAGGAAATTTTTAACTTTCTATATTTCCATAGTTCTCTAGTCAACAGCCCAGATAATAAAATGCATACTCATTAAATTTGTGGCACAAAATTGGGTATAATGTAAAATACTTTGAGAGATAATATATGTTCTTCCAAAACAAGCCCAATACTTTGAGTATCATGATTTCAAATCATCTGAAGATCTTGTAGCAGTCAGACACAAAAGAAGAAGAGCAAAAAAGAGAGTAAATTTCAAAAGTGAATCCAGTGCCACAGAGCCAGAGTAGGCAAAAGAATAAATAAGCAATTATTATTATAGCAGAATTTATCTATAATACTACAGAATTTAAATTTCAATGATTAATATAAAATGCACAAATAATTGAGTGAATCCTCTTATTGCACCTGATCAGGTTTAAGACTGTCCAATTTGCGGACTCTCCATATCAAAATGAAAAATCCATCTTTTAGAAGGAGAAATGTCAGGACAAAGGTTGGCAAAATGCAATCTGCAGGTCAAATTCACACTTGGACTGAGAGTGTAAATAAAGTTTCATTGGAACACAGCCATAGTCATCATATCGGTATTGTCTATTGATACTTTCACTCAAAACAGAGAAATTGAGCATTTGTGTCTGACTGTATAGGTTGCAAATCTATTCACTTACCACCATGAAAAGTGTTCCTACTCAGATGT